GGCACAGACCAGTTTTCCTTCTTTTGGTTTTCTTTTGTCCCTTTACTTCCTTCCTTGGGCTTGTCAGGCCCAGAAGATGGACCACATACGCCCAATGCCTTGGTATGACTCTGTCTACTCACACACCCCCCCCTTAACTCAAGCAGAGGCACGCAACTGTTGGCGCAGCCAGACCTTGTTCTTTTTCTTTTTTTTTTTCTTTTACTCTGTTTCTTCTCATTCTTTACAAAAGCTCACGTCTCCCTCCTGTCACTCCTTTGCCTTTTCCTTCGTGTTGCTCTATTCAACTCTTGTATTATTTCTGCTTCCCTAATACCCAGCGCGTTCACTTGATTTCAGCGATTCACTGTCAATTGTCTGCTCGGCCCGCCTGTCTGGATTTTGGGCATTTACCTATACATACCGCAAACCACTTACACCCCCTTTAATCTGCTTGCCAACCGTGCAATTCACGCCTACAACCTCGAAGCGACCACTGTCCCAGCTTCTCGTTCGCCTATTCACGCCTCACCGAAATATTCGCATCCAGCGCCGACCCAGATTCACCAGCGCATCGCCTGCCTCGTCAGCTCGGAAGTATTGTTTGCCATACGCAGCTCTGAACATCCGCTTCAATAATAGCACCTGTCATTGCTCGGGTCACCTTTCGCTCCGCAAAGTCGTATTCAGTACACTACCGCCATCAAAGCGAACTGCCAGTCGCCGACTTTCACCTTCCCCAGAAACAGTGAACCATTCGTCTCGTGTTGCCCGAATCAACGCGCCGGTGCCGAATTGACTCCCGCCTCGCAATTGACGACTTGCTCAGCACCCGCCCCGACACCAATTCTGTCCAATATTATTGGCAACATTGCTATTCTGGCCGTTGTTCGGCTCTCTTCCCGGCTCTCTCCCGCATTAGCCATCATTCTCTCCGGTGCTACCTGAACGGCTTCTGGAAATCCGTCACACTCAGTCGAGGTGAGTGAATCATATGAGTTTGCCTTTGCTTTCCCCATCGCGTTGACTTCACTCAACGGAACAGTGACGTTTGACCAAACAATACGTCACTGTCGTCGTCGTGCTGCCGTCTGCTTTGACTATTAAAGAAGCGTCGTCTTCCATCAAGTAGAAACAATTTGCTAACATCATCCTCAGCAACATCACACTTTCGTCTATCAAAGACCAATTCAATTCACACACACTCACTCTCTATCCTCCCACAACCGTCTTTCATCAAACCACCAAAATGATTCACGACAGCTGCGAGTTGGTCAACATGGGCCGTGGAGGCTACGATACCACCAATCTGCCAAAGCCCAGGCCAGTGCCGCCCAAGCCCAAGCCCGCGTCCCAGCCCAAGGCACAGCCTGCCTCAAGGAATTAAGTCGGCCTGGGCTCAGATGGCTCAGATGCAGGCGAGCGAAACAGCATCGCGTGTCGTGTCGCACGACCTCGCCTTCAGATCCACTACCCCTGGCAACGTCTGTTGACTTTCCGTCTCTACCACCACCCGTCTTTTACACCTTTTTTTTTTCCAGCGATACCACTACTTCGTTTCGCTTTTGTTTTTCTTCTTGTCGACAATACACTACAGGCTCGCTGCCAGTCCTTGCTTACTAGCATCAGGACATGTTCTGGGGAGTTTGCTTTTTACTTGACACTACCGAAATGAGCGCGTGCGACGTTTGACCATAGACGGATTTGGACCAAGAATTTGTTACTTTTTTTTCTTTCTCAATTCGCCTCGTCTGCGAGGGTCTTTGGGATACCGGGCCGACACATTTCTCTCATCACCCGCAAAGTTGCCCTCGCCAACTGTCATCTTTTCGCGACAGGGCAAGACAAGACGCCAACTACCCGCGACCCAGGGCATACGATGGAATGCGACATGCTCGCGACATGTCTTGGAATGGGCACACTTTCCCCACCTTCTCTCGGGCGGGTCGCGGTGTGAGTGATGAATGGAAGGGGCCATCAGGTTATCGAAAACGGCCGCCAATGGTTTACTGTTTTACTTTTCTCACTTGTTTTCGGAACGCGATCTCAAGGGTCTTGGACCAAGTTTGGGGACAAGCGCAATATGTCTGCAGGTCTTTTGACCATGAATCTGGATCATGTCTTGTGCTTTTCCGGCAACAGCTTTTGGATGGCATTGATTCTTGTTCATGATCAACCATCGACGCGCCAGTGGCCAAAACCACTTTGCGCCGTCGAAGGTAAGAGAGGACGAACTGCCGTCTTGTACTATTTTGTTGTTTTCCTATTTGTACTTTTACCCCATTGGCACACAGAACATCTAGACGGGAAGCAGAGTGCAAGAACTCTTGGTTTGCGAGAATTTTTTTTTTTTGGTTTCAATTGTTTTTCCTTTTGCACATCAGATAGACCATCGCATTTAGACATGAATTAACCCCATTGCATATCACGAATTGTTTGTCGTCTCCAGAAGTGCTGTCAGATGCCTCGAGTGAATAATATCTCACGGACCATGACATGGGGAAACACAGAAGGGTTCGCTCGCGTGGCGATGCTTGGCAACGACGCTGTGGCGCCTCCAGTTCCCGATATGGATGATTATTACACGTTGAAGCCAGCCAGTCCTGTGTCACTGCGGTAAAAGCAAAGACACAATGTCACTTGATAATACTGTACATTGCCAGACAGACGGGCGAGCAACAGCAAGTCTAAGATGCGCATACGCGGGATCGCTGCGAGTTCCTGGCCACCCTGCAGAAAAGATGTTTATTTTTTCCGTCATGCACGATGCAGTTGGCGCGCGGTGCCTGTGAGTAGGGAACCCGCTTGCGGACCAAGGTTAGTACAGTATGTATGTATTAAGTTAGGCGGCACGGATCCCGGGGACGAGATGCGATTTGTGCTAGACTCGATCAGTTGCATGACCCATTGTGTCTAGGCGTCTGGAGACAAGAGATTGGCTCATGCACGGGTGTTACCGACATGCCGGGACGTCACGACAGGTGATATTTATTTATTTATTTTTGATTTGCTTTTTGCTCCAATCAGAAATGCAAGTCGTAAGATCAAGTCAGTCAACCCCGGCTGGAGCGAACAAAAAGAAGGAAAAAAAAAAGCAAAAATACAGGGAGGAAATTGAACACTGACGGGGAGAAAACGGCTACGGGTAACCTCCGTGCAACACGTCCCCTTTGGCAGATCCAAAAGACTAAACGCCCACTCGCAGAACGAGCGAGGGCTGAATATGGAACGAGGAAACAAAGTGGAAGAAGAGAAAGACGGACGGCGAGCAAAAAGCAGGGAGGTGGCGTGAAGGCGGGGGAGGGGCGGGGGGGTGTAGCCAAGGGAGAGAGAGACGAGAGGGAATAGAAGAAAAAAAAAAGAGAATACACTCGGATGTCTCTTCTCTCCACTGGAGGATACGAAGCGAATTTGGGAATCAAATAATTCAGAGAGGTATTGATAGCTGCATTCTTTTGATAGAAAGACCTATTTATTGATTATTCACCAGACTAGACCAATCATACAATAGAGTAGCCGGAAGTGGCTGCCGTGTCAGACAAGCCACGCGGCAGAGGCCGCCGATTTTCTTTTCTTTTCCTTTCTTTTCTTTTTTTTTTTAACCCTCTCTTTTCTCTGCAATCATGTTCTCTCCTCTTTGAACATGACCAAGCTCAACTTTCTGCCCTAGTTCGGGATGGAAAAGACGAAGCCTTCACGATGGCGCTAAAGATGGCATTCCCCGACATGAGCTGAAAAAAATAGGGTGGGTAACCTTGCCAGAAAGGGAGTGGTACCACCAGGCAAACAGTCGCGCCACTAACTAGACTACTCTCAACATTCGGAAGCGAGAAAAGGTAACCCCGGAATGCGGCAAAGGTATAAAATTCTGAGACCCGTCACTTTGATCCGGTACTAAGTAGATGACATGTTCGAGGTGGCCAAAGCTTTTAAAAAATGAATTTTCCAAGACTGATTTGGTGTATTCTGACGAGATGCCGTTTCACACAGAACAAGGTACTCAGATGTGGTACTTGACGCCCATACTATTCTTAGCCGTGACCGATCTGGTACTACAAGACTGCGTGCGGGCTTGACAAGTCTCAGTGCGCCAATGTCGATTGTTTTAACTTGTCCCAGTCAAACAGCATAAGAGACTGATGCTCATGATGCATGCTTCTGTAAAGTCGTCGGTCTGAAGAAGAACCGTGTTACAAAAAAAAATAAAGCTTTCAGTGCGT